GTGAAAGAATACTTTTTAAAAGTACTTATTTATCTAATGGCTTTCTTCAGTGGAATGTGGGAGGAAATACATTTCTTGAGTCAAGAAACACTTCCCTACCGTTTGCCTACTCTCAGCGGGGTCTTTCTCCTTTCGCCCTCTTAGGTTGGAGAATATTGTCCTTCTGGTTCTAAGAGAATATTAGAGAGCCAGGGTAAGCTGTGAATGAAGACATGAAATTAAAGGAGGGGGAGCAGGCAGTAATATTTTACAATAGTGTGGCATTGTCTCAGGCACAGTTGGAAAGTAGGCTCTCTGGGGGTATCTAACCTTAGCCTGACCTCGTATGCCTGCATATGATAGAACCATGGACTCTCTGAGTTGAAAAGAATTCATGTTGAAAGAAACTAAATTTTTCTGAACCCCAAATCATACATCATTTGGGATACACAAGAGAGGATTGGTAGAAAATTTTCCAATACAGAATCTCCTGGTATCTTGTCCTAATCTTTTTTTCAATGTGTAAATCCTAATTTAAGTGCTTTTTAGGCTGGCAATATGTCAATTTAATTTAAAAAATATATAGTTCGGGTATAGAAATAAAACAAAACACAAGGGATATGACAAGATGAAAACAGGGATACACTTACAATATACATAAAGAAAAGAATATCAGTTGCAGGCTATGAGAAATCATTTATTTCATCTAGTCCTGCTGAAATGGATCCTTCGTATTTCTTAAGGACCTAGACTTGCTAACTCTGAACAGCTGTAATGGGAACCATCCATCATGTGATCTGCAGCATGCAGTCTCTCACTGATGGCTATCTGGACCTCAACATAGTACTCTATATTGATTTTCTCCAGCTATATGGTTATATTATTGGAATCAATATGCCTCTCCCTCTCCAGTCACTTGGTGGGCAGCCAAGAAATGCACTTTGACAATAGCACCAGCAAATATGATTAGAAAAGTAACTCTGGGAGAAGAATTATTTTTTAACACATTACTAAATTGAGTAAAGATTATTTATAAATCTATCTCTCTTTTAAAATAGTGATTTTCCACCCAGTACACCAAGTCAACTTTATGTAATAAATACTTTGCAATGCTTCCTTTACGCTTGTGAAATACAAACTCGAGATATTAATGTTACCTTCTTGTACACTTAATTAAAAAAATTAATGTGCCTAAGTATGAAATATAAATGTAAGAGAAGCAATTTCTAATAAAAAAATTTTGTTTTAATGTGTGAATCTGGGAGACATAATGTTAGGAGACATAAAGAAGTGATCAAATGTTTGCCATAGTCTGTAGAACTACTAATACTAATGCAACTGCTACAAATGTACATTCACATAGGTATGCTGTTTGGTGTTCAAAGACCATGAGTCATGTTGCTGTGGATGATGTAGTTTTTCCATAATGATGGCCAACTCTTGGTAAATTCCAAACAAAACAAATTACAACTGTCCCTCAATTTACCCCATTGTTGTAGTCCTGGAAAACTCACTGTTGATAAAGCCGTGGAAAAATGCTTTGTGTTAATATGCAACCTGGAGGCAGATTTGGAAATAATGAACAGGTTTTTACTTGCATGATTGCCCATTGGCATCTTTAGAAGTCATGTGAGACACAGGACCTTGCTTTTTTCTGTGGGACAGTCCCACACGTGGCACGATGTCTAACAGCCTAGTCCTCTGAACATCTAACACAGCTTGTGCCCACAATTATCATGAGAACCATAGACCCTCCTACAGATTTCCAGAATTGAAACCCAAGGAGTCAGTAACTTTTGCTGAGGACCACTGGTTTGAAGTATTTTCTATAGAACTTCCCTATTGACCCAGATTCCAGCTGTGAAACCAAAGAACAATAGAACTAGAAGCTACCTTTAACCTTCTCTAACTGGCCCCTTCATTTTTATCCAGGTGAGGTAAGTGACTCAGTTATTAGGGTAGAAAACCAAGATTACCCTGTCAGCACTTTTTTAAAAGTTCTTATTGAATAGAAAGATAGCCTTGAATCTGTCTCTTTACACACCAGGTACTTGAAAATAGATAAATGACACAGCATTTTCCAGTTTTTAACAGGATATTTGGGGTGAAATCACTCACTTCTCACCCCTGAGTTTTAGTTCCAGCTGTGATACCCTCTCCTGCCCACAACAAGCCTGGATTCCTGCAAACACATAAATGGGAAAGGTTAAAAATATTATAAATTCCCTTACAATGTGTTCAAATGTATGATTACTGAGAGCAGAAATTGTCTTACATGGTTAGTGGTTAATTGATTTTCTCACCATCCTCCCCAACCTCCAGTCACCAGAGTCCAAGCAGGACCTTGGGAAATGAATGGCTAAGATTCCATATGCTCCTGCTCTATGCACAGCTGAACTTAGAACTGGTCCCTTCCTAAAACCCAGTGAAGCCTTGGCTATTCCATTCTGATGACAAACTGAGTGTTTTAAAATTTGATTTGACAGATCAGATATTAAGAAGAGACTGATAGATTGCACAATATTGGATTTCCAAATTACGTTTTCAAACTGAGCCTGTTTCAAAATTATTGCTTGGAGGGGAAAAGAACCATTTATAAGCCATATATATTATGAGGAGGTAAAGATAGGAGGAGAGATGGCATTTGTAGCATATAAATGCAGATCCTGCACCAAAGAGGAGTTAGTTGTTTTCTAATCCTTCGAGCTGCACTAAAGAATAACCTACTTGGTAATGTGCCAACTCAGCTCTCTTCAGGAGAAAACACAGAAGTTCTCCAACAAGAAAGTCTCATTAGGTCCTCATACTCGGTGCTTACACACCCTACAATTTCCTCACGGAAGAGCCCCTTGGGTCTTCTTTCCAAGACCACATCCTCTTAATGTTAGACTCCCTCCAACAATCCAAACACCCGCTGTTAGAAGCAGCAATTTAGAAAGGAGGAGGTCTGACTGCTCAGGGTGAGCCCTGTGATAGCAACGAAGAGAAATAACTGGCCATCCAGGAAGGAGATGGAAAACTGTTTTTACAGTGAGGGAGGGGGGCTGACATAGGAACTCAAAATAAATAGCAGCTGAGCCGTTTAATGTAGGCCGAGAGCATCTCCATAGTACAGAACAACATAATAACTGACATAAAAGAAAAGTTAGGTTATGCCTAGTATATTTTGAAGCAAAAATTCAATATAGCAGGTTGAATCCTAGAGTGGTGGGGAAGGGAGACCCTTCAGAGAGCATCCCAGTCCCATTCCTTTATTTTACAAAGAAGGAAACTGAAAGTAAAAGGTGCAACAGGTTTGAGGTAGACAAGAGCACAGCCCTTCTGTCCTTCCCTATGGACACCCTGACAACTGACATCACTGAGAGGAAGGAAAAGCGACGTTGCATCTGACATGTCATCATTCAGTGTGTCACTGCTTCTGACATTTGTTTTTGCTTCTCTGCATTGATTTCTCCACACTTCCAAAGGACAAGAAACCTGCTCTTTATTCACAGAAGAGGGAACTCTTGTTCCCTGATGTGTGATGACAGAGCTTCAGGGTTAACAAATTGGGACTGGAGGTGAAGTTTACTTGGAGTTCCCTCTGACATTCTCCTCATCCATTCCTTTTATGTTTCCTCCAAGCTGTCCTACATCTGTCCTCCAACTTGGCATCTCAGCCTCTGGCCCCACATCCAGAGCTCCTGCAGTGTAGGAAACTTTCCCAACTCTCAAAAGTCTGGTGTATCCCCAACCTCTTTCTAATTTCATCTCTAATTCCATTAAACAAAGAATGGGGCAATGTACCAATGTTTTTCAAAAATTAGTGGGAAGTGCCTAGCCGGCATGGTTCAGTGGTTGAGTGTCGACCTATGGTCCAGGAGGTCACACTTCGATTCCTGGTCATGGCACAAGCCCTGGTTGCAGGCTCTATCCCCTGTGGAGTGCATGCAGGAGTCAGCCAATCAATGATTCTGTCTCATCATTGATGTTTCTCTCTCTCTTTCTCTTTCTTTCTCTCTCTCTCTCTCCCTTTCTCTTCCTCTCTGAAATCAATTTAAAAAAATTTTTTAAATAATAAGTGAGGAGCTTGTTAAAATACAGGTTCCAGGTCCCCATTTCTTGAAATTATGATTCAATAGATGATTCTGGCAGAGTGGGCTCTGACCCTCCTAACTGCCCACCTGTGCATTCCCCTCCATCCAAATACTTCAAACTCTTTCTCTCTGCCATGTCTTTACCTCATATTACACCTTCTTTGTTCAATTAACTCCTCCATCTTTCTCAATACCAGCTAACGTAGACATCTCTCATCTTTGCTCTCATTCCTGTGTGTTTTTGTATCACTGAGCTTATCCAACCTACCATGATTTTCTGGCACATCCCCTTGAGGGTAAGGCCTTGTCTCGTGTGTGTGTGTGTGTGTGTGTGTGTGTGTGTGTGTGTGTGGCTTATTCCCAGCAGCCTGACAGGCACATAGTAGGCACTCTAAAATTGTTCATTAAATTATCTTTTCCATGTGATCCAATTTTCTTGTTAATAACTAGTTGTTTATTTACATTTGAATTTTTTATCAGTCCCCTAGATATAGTAAAAGATGTTCACAAATCGCTCAAAGTATCACTCTCCAATGAGATGCATCTTTTGCAAGATGTAAAAATGAAACAGAAAAAAATTTCACACATAATCTAACCCTGGTGCCAACAGCTATAGGGTTAGGTCCATGTTCACTCAGGATATCTGACACCAAAGGAACAGTGACAGAGACCCATACAACAAATGGGGACTGTTCTAAATGAAGATCAGTTTCTAATAGTTCCTTAGAATTAGTTCTGGTTGTCTTCCAGGCATCCAGGTTAAGAAGTTTTTCAGAAGTGAGGTTGGAAAACACTACTGGCTTTGAACTGATTCTTATACATAAAGCTCTGTGTATGTGTTCTTCAATCCCAGAGATTCCCAGTGTTTTCTACCCAACATCGTTAGCCACCAAGAGGTTTGCTCATCTCCTACAGCCCACCACTGGTGTGTTTCTTCCCATGCAGGTGTTTGCTATGCAGAGTTTGGAGTCCGTGTCCCAAAAACCACGGGGTCAGCCTACACCTACAGCTACGTCACTGTGGGGGAGTTTGTGGCATTTTTCATCGGCTGGAACCTGATCCTGGAATACCTGATTGGCACTGCGGCCGGTGCCAGTGCTCTGAGCAGCATGTTTGACTCGCTGGCAAACCACACCTTCAGCCGCTGGATGGTGAACAGCGTGGGGACCCTCAATGGCCTGGGTAAGACCACCACATGCAAGCTATCTGAGCCAAATAAATGGGTTTTCCTTTCAGGACACAACTTGGCAAAATGTATCAATAGCATTAAATATGTGTTGGTTTGGGGCGAGGAGGTGTGTGTTGTTGTTGTTATTTTTGCAAAGTAATTATTTTTCTTCAAATCTATCCTAAGGAAATCAGTCTAATTTCCATAAAGCTTTCTACAGAAAGATGTTCATCACAGCCTTATTTATAATAACAACAATAATTAGAAACTGCCTAAATATTCTACAGTGGAGCAAATGGCTAAGTAAATCATGGAAACATATTATATAGCTTGAAATTAAAAGAATGACTAGGAAAACTGTTCTAATAACATGGAATGTTTTTAATGTAATAACATATGACAAAGGATGCAAATCATACATGTATCATGTTAATACATAAAAATAAAACCAATGATGTAAGAACTGTAAGAAACTTCTCATTGGCTTCTTCAGAAGATTTTTAAATTTTTCATAAATAAGCATTCATTAATTTTTAAATGTGTAAAAAAATTAATATATTTCTAAAATGAATTCAGTCTAGCAGAGGTCAAGGATGGCAATGGAACGGAGTGAATACTAAATGATCAAAAGCTCAGGGAGCAATTACCTTGAGACTTCAGACTCTGTCCATCACTTGCCTTCCACTTTCCATCCCGATGTCTGGCTTTATGCTTTCGCATTCATGGGAGGCTAAACATTAGTTGGGGAAACTTTGGAGTCCTGCCCCAGAACTTTGAGGAACTGATTATGAGGCGCTGTACAAGTCCTTTAACTTTGGTGTCTCTATCTGAGAAGAAGTGACAAAAATGCTGAGTATCCAGATACCATGAGAAGATTAAAATGTATGAAGACCACAACTCCTCAATACACTAATTTCATAGAATTTTAAGTCTGCAAGGGTCCTCCAGCATCAGGGATCCAACCCCTAAACTTCACAGGTGAGGTCCAGAGGAGTGAGAGTCAGTCAGTCTGACTTTGGGTCCTGTGTGCTTACTTACGCTGTACTTAATAGCAATTTAATTTAACTTGACCTCTGGTTACAGGCAAAAGTGCAGCTGAAATCCAGGAGCCTGACTGCCAAGGCAGTGCCTTTTCCACTCTATAGAGGGCAGGCATCCACTGGCCAACAGACAAGAGCTTGAAGGCTGTCCACTGGCCATTTTCTCTGCAGCCACATACACGTAAATGGAAAAAAGAATACCTTTCTTCCAATGGTTTTCAAAGACACACAATTAAAATTTTTCTAATGATGAAAAAACTGCTGGAGTGGAAAGCAAAATTCATGGACTCTAAAGTGAACAAGAATGAAGATAAAACAATTTTCAAGTAACATGTTAGACCTATGTATACATGCCAAATATCCCAGGATAGTCCTAACTTCAAATGTTCTGTGCCATGATTCCATAGGACTCTTGTAATTGTCATATCATGTATCCCAATTTTGGGTCGAGGATATCATGTTATTTTATCTATATATCAAAACCTTCCCATTTGCAAATAGACACTTGCAGACCACAGTGTAAACACACACACACACACACACACACACATACACACACACACACTCACACTGTAATCTCTCCCTCTGTGACCATCTGACCACCCTTCTTAGAGCTGAGTGCAGATGCCCTGGGAAGGGGCTGGGAGTTTGTGTGGCCTTTTTTCCTTCTGGACATTAACTCATGTCTTTCCTCTCTAGGGAAAGGTGAAGAATCCTACCCAGACCTTCTGGCTCTGGTGATCGCGGTCATCGTCACCATCATCGTCTCGCTAGGGGTGAAGAACTCTGTGGGCTTCAACAACGTGCTCAATGTGCTGAACCTGGCAGTGTGGGTGTTCATCATGATCGCAGGCCTCTTCTTCGTCAATGGGAAGTACTGGGCAGAGGGCCAGTTCTTGCCCCACGGCTGGTCAGGGGTGAGTTCATCCTAAATCCCTATGTGCCTCTCCCATGCTCTGCCTTCCACCCCATGATGAGTCTAAGACATGTTTTCAGGAAAATGCTGTTGTGTCTCATAATCTTCATGCCACCCTCTTCATCACCTTTCACTGGAATGTTCTGAAGAAGTAGCTCTCATTTTATTTTGTTTCACAAACGTTTATTAAAATCCAGTTTTATAGATAACTAAAAGATTTGTTGTGTTGGTCCCTTGCAATATACCTAATACAAAGTGCTTTGCATTTGGTATCTTATTTAGTCTTCCTAATAACTGTGCAAGGAAATATTTACATTCTGGTCTTACAGGAGAAAAAACTCACACCCAGAGAGGTCAAATGACTTGCTATTAAGCATACAGTGTAGGTAAGCACAAAGGACCCAAAGCAGGACTGTCTGACTCCAAAATCTATAGAATCTCCCTATAGTTTATTTAGATGACAGACAGTCTGTCAATAAACAATGCAGTAACAAAGGCCAGGAGAGGGATGGGTGGGGAAGAGATTAGTGTTTCTTGGGTATAGAACTAGGGAACAAACAGTTTTTTTGTTTGTTTGTTTGTTTTTAATTTTTTTTTATCTTTTTCCTTTTTTAATCCTCACCTAAGGACATTTATTTTATTGATTTTAGAGAGGGGGGAAGGAGACGGAGAGGAAGAAGGAGAGAGAAAGGAAGAGGGGAGAGAGAGAGAGAGAGAGAGAGAGAGAGAGAGAGAGAGAGAGAGAGAGAGAGAGAAACATAGTTGTGAAAAATAAATATCAAATTGGTCGCCTCTTGCACGTGTCCCAACCAGGGATTGAACCCACAACCTGGGTATGCTTCCTGATTGGGAATCAAACCCTCAACCCCTCAGTGCAGGAGACAACATTTCAACCAACAGAGCCACACTAGCCAGGATAAGAAAAAAAACGTTTTTAAACCTTAAATCTAATCCCCACATTTGACCCAAAGTGGATATTCTTCAGGGGTCTGAGGGCAGCTGAGTGGGCCTATGGTACAGTTTATAATGTCCATTCCATTGCACGGTTCACACAGAGAAATCCACCTGATGAGGTCTGGGGTTTGGCAAGACAGTAGGCTGGACCAAAAGGACATGTTCAGATCTCACCCCTATGACAAAAGTAGTTCTAAGTCGCACCTGGATTTGTTCTCTAGGATAACAAAAAATGTTTACTTTATGAGTTAATTGGTAAAATTCACCAGCCATTCTTTTTTTCTTCTTTTTTTATTTTAATAGTTGAACATAAATCAGAGAATTTTGAGCTAAAAGAGGTCTTTACAGCCATCAGGTCCTATTCTCCCATTTAACAGGTAGAAAAACTGAGGCCGAGAGAGACAAACCTACCTAAGATGGTGGCAGAAGCAAGTCCAGGATTTCACCAATTTTGCTTTTGTAGCTTTTTCTTTTTTCTTTTTTTCTTTTTTTTTAATATATTTTATTGATTTTTTACAGAGAAGAAGAGAGAGGGATAGAGAGTTAGAAACATTAATGAGAGAGAATCATCGATCAGTTGCCTCTTGCACACCCCCTACTGGGGATGTGCTCGCAACCAAGGTACATGCCCTTGACCAGAATTGAACCTGGGACCCTTTCAGTCCGAAGGCCAATGCTCTATCCACTAAGCCAAACCGGTTTCTGCTGTAGCTTTTTCTTAAACTATTTTCTTCCAAGATGTTCAGGGACCAGAAATCTCTTTGGAAGAACTCTCAAAATAAGTTCTGTTATTTTGAACCATGCCATGCTGTTCAATGCAAAGAAATAAGCAAGAAAGCAATTTCAGCCAAGATTTCTAGTCTTCTGCTTATCTGTAAGAATTCCACAGAACCACAAAGTTTATTCTGCCTCTCTGAAATGAATAAGTCCTGAAACTGGTTAAAACCAAAAGAGACAAAGACACGGTTGACCCCATTCTATATCCCTAAATCTGTATTCATTTATGATACAAATCGTTTCTTTCCTATCAAGTAGGAGAGATAAAAAGAATTATAGGAGTGACAAAGAAAAAGTGTTTTCCAGAAAGTCAATAGCATTTTCATCATAGCACACAAAAATGTTCTCACCATTTTCTTAACAATGTAAGAAATTATTGGGTCATGGACTTACTGTAAGACTTTGGCCCACAACTAATTTCTATGCTTTTACATTTTCTCAGAGCTATCAAGTGGGAAGTCTAATTGTACCAAATATTTGCAAAAGAGAATAAAATCTTGGATGTTTTTATTTGCACAGTGTGTAGTTAAGCAATAGTGATAATGATAGGAGGGAGGAGCTAGAATGTATCCACTACCTGCTAGATGCCCTTTGAATTGTGCATTGTTCTCTATGAATATTATCTCATTCTGACAACAAAACTTTAATGCAAGTGCTGTTGTCTCCAAGTTACAGATGGAGCATCCAAGGCTCAGAGAGGCTGGGTCACTTACCTGAGGTCACTGAGCCAGTCATTACCAGGCCTGAAATTTCTGCCCAGGTCTGGGTGGCTCCCAAACCCCTTACTACATCAATGCCCTGTGCATGATGACCCTCCCTTCTGAGTCTTCTTAAATAAGATAATTAATCTGACAGGTTATATTTTTATTTCCTTTAAGCTTTCCCAAAATCATAGTCTTGGACCTGGGAAGAGCCGTCAGAGATGGCCTAGTCTCCTTCTTTCTTATCTTCAAAGGGAAGTATAATTCCAGCCCAGGCCAAAAGTGCATTGCTTACCAAGATATCATATCAGAGCAATTCAAAAGCTTTTTTTAATTACTTGGATTATGTTAAATTTTCAAAATATTCCTAGTAGTGCCCTGGCTGATTTTGCTAAGTGGTTAGAAAATCAGCCTGAGAGACTGAAGGGTCCCAGGTTCAATTCCAGCCAAGGGCACATGGCCCGGTTGCAGGCTCTCTCTCATCATTGATGTTTCCATCTATCTCTCCCTCTCCCTTCCTCTCTGACATCAATAAAAATATATATATTTTTAAATCTTCCTAGTAGCTTTCTTGAATGGCACACACTGTAGTCTAGGTCCCATGTGACAACTGGAAAGAGTAAATACCCTTTGCCCACGCTGAAGAAGATGAGTCTTTTGGTCTTTCTTCTTGTGCTTCATCCTGGGGTCTTTATTCTTTTTGGGGGTGTCCTCTTCCCTTCTTTGGGGCTCCACAGCCTCCCTCAGTCGGGAGCCCGCCTCATCAAGGAAGGAGCTCATTAAGCCAGCTTCAAAGGCTCCTCATTTGCATATCCCGGGTTCTCACCAGCTTTTATAGCAAGAAATGAAGATCAGAAATCAGCCATAAAAATCAAGGAAGATTCCATTCCCAACACTTAACATTTCCTTTATGACAAACTCTTCCATATACAATTTCCCTTTAATCTTCACAACAGCCTTGCAAAATAAATACAATGATCTCCACTTTTACACCAAAATAACTAAAGCTTAGACCACAAATTTAAGCATAAAAGAATTGCAATGTGGTCCCAGTTCTGGAGGAACCAAAGCACTTACTCAGAAACTCTAATACCCCCTCGTAGTGAACACATGGAACCAATTGTCTTTTTCTTTTTTTCTTTTTTCTTTTTTTTTTCTTTTTTTTTTTTTGCATTTTTGGCCACTGACCTCCAACCCAAACCTACCACCTTAAGTAGGCTTGCCATTGACCAGCAAAAAAGTTCGGCTGGGATTTTGGATTTTCCACTGCAAATCCCTTTTCCCTGCAGGAAATTCAAATATGTGCCCTAATGGCTGTGATTAAAAAGCACCATCTGAGTACAAAGAACATCCCAGTGAGAAGATGTTGCTGACTCATCGTCCCTGCTATCTGCCTGGCCTTGGATTTCTGCAGAGTGAATTTCCTCCCTGGCGAACTGGCCTGGACCTGTTCTTTCTCAAGTCTGATTTCAGGTCACTTTTCCAGTCCAGCCGGGCCACTTCTTTGAATATGGATTCTATTTTATTAAGGTCCCGGCCTTCTCATAAGCATTTCATCCACCACATTAACGAACACACTCCCTACTCTGTTATCTAGCAATTGCCAATAAAAGTGAGTTTACCTACTTGGCTGCTGCCAAGAGAAAACATGACCTACAAGGAGATTAGTTCAGAGTTCCAGTCTACTCCATTCTTACTCTCTTTAGGTAGGGTGGGATGGAGGAAATCACTGTGTAGAGGATGGCTTATAAAGATACCAATACATGACTTGCAACACAATTCTCAAGCACTTTGAAAGGGTTAATGAGCAATCTGTCCTCTGGCCATGGACCCCTCATAGGCCTACTCTTTCCCTGCTGCAACTACTTCCTTCCAAAGAAAATAGCAGAAGAAATGGTTTACTCACTTTCAGGTTCTGGGTCAAATGCTTCTTTGGTCTTGAAGAGCTTAAGAATAACAAAAATCTCCCCCCTCCTATATCAAGTAACTGCTGGCCCTCGGCTGAACCCCTGCTTCCATCTGCAAATCCTCAGCCCCTGAACATTGTTGGATGTGTATTCCCTCTATGTTATTTGTTCTTGATGTTATCTTATGGTTTTTCTTTAACCAAATAAGACGCCCTACAAGCACAAATAGCTCCCAGGAAAATGGCTCATAGCAAATATTTGTGGGGAATGCTGACAACCTCCAAAGGAAAAGTTCTTTTCCATGTCCTCCACATTTAAATCCATTTGCTGGGAACTAGTAGTACATTCCACTGTCACTGCAAACAGGCTGCTAATAGCTGGAGCATGAGCATGGTAGAAAATGTTATTAAAGTTGTAGTTTCATCTTGTTAACTTGGGAGTGAATTATATAAAAGTGCCTAATTATCTCCAAGGCATCTGGCAGAATGGCCAAGGCATGATATAGAGGGCTGCCTCACCCTAATGCCTTTCAAATATCAGCCAGGCACAGGGGGGTCAACATAGGGGCCCCACACATTGAGTAGCAGGCCACTAATGACTTTTCTTTTGACAACTAATTAAGCAGCAGCCCTCCAGCAACTGAGATACAAGCTGATTCCCCACAAAGGTCTGTAAAGGCAGATCCATCTGGATCTCCTGGCTGAGCTGCTATACCAGGTTTACTTTGGAAAACATTTTCTGCTATGTCATCAAATTAAAAAGTCAATACTATTCTTTATTTATGTAAAACAGTAAAGGAAAGGTAGGATAAAGTACCAATGAAACCAGTAACACACACATACATTTCACCCACTAATTTTATTCACAGATGCTCACCCTTAGGTACCACTCACATTGTCATGCATGGAAGGGTATTCCAATCATAAATACCAGTGGCCAGAGTAAAATGGAAAGCAGTTTTAGTGGTTACTTGAGTAGAGATACACCCATACACAGTTTCACTTCGTGGCTCCTTTGTATTTACCAATCAGGGATCATTTGCTGGCCAGGAGATAACCTCATGCAAACTAACTGAAGTAAAAATGAGACCTCATTTGTTAATCCCATTATCTTCTCCTTGATAATCTGTTTATTTCATCTACAGCTTGTGAGGCCAGGGTCTGTTTGATCTTGGCAGATGAGCTGGTTTTTCTCCCTTTGCCTCCACTCCCCAGATTCATTTTCCACCCATATTGCTCTGTTCTGTGCTCCAAAAGACCCCTTTGCTATTTCAGGTTGGGTTCAGCCAATGCAAGACATTATCAGGAGATCAAAAGGTGAGAGGAAAGCAAGACCAGAGTATGTCCTCCTCTCTCCGACCCAGGCTTAGCTCCTATAAGCTCTTCATTGAAATAATTTCATTTGAACCATCTCAGTTAAATTCTATTTTCTTCCTAATGCAGTAGAACTTCCCAATGTCCTACCTTCAATCTCTCCAGCCTTCAACCACAATTTTTTTTTCTAGTTATTCATAGGCAAATGCAGGCTAACAGACATTGCCTTTGCAAACTTTTTCTCTCTCTTCCTAACTTGATTATGTTAACTTTCTGGTATCTAATTATCAGCAATTGCCACCTATTCTTTCATTCACTTGGAAAATAGCATTTGTGCTTTTAAAAATAATATAGATATTTATTCATCTTATTCAGTTTGTTTACCTCAGTCAAGGTTATATTTTGGATTGTGTGGTGTTCTCAAGACTGCAAGTACCATAAGGTCACACTCAGAGAACCTTTTGCTCATTACTGTCTCCACACCAAGCACAGTGCATGGCACGTGGGAACAGCTAATAAATATGTGTCAAGAAGAATGAGGAGGAGGGCAAGGAATTTGTTTGTGCCCCTGGGTTTCATCTGTCCTAGAAATTTTATGAGTTATAAAAATAATACTGGTAAGAGATAATACTTATTGAGCAACTACAGAATTCTAGGACTGCAATTTATTATATTATCTCATTCAATCCTTGTAACAATCATATGAGCTAAGTACGCTCATTCTTTTCACTTAAGGGATAAACTGGGCTCCAAGAGGTCGGGAACTTGTTCTAGGTCACCAGCCTAATATGTGGCAAAACCAGGTTTGACAGTCTACAAAGTCTAGACTCATAACTCAAGCAGAATCTACCCAAGTTCATGGCTCTGAGATTCCCCCTGGAGCCTATAATATACCTCTCCTCCAAGTGCATGGTCCAAACTGCAGAATTGTTCTCTGACTTACACTGAGTCTTCTCTTCTTCAAGTTAGACATCCCCAGATGCCCAGGTGTCCCTCACATGGTGTGATTTTACAGACCTCTCACTCTTTTCTAGGCTAGATTTGCCCCAAAATTCTTGTTTAGGACTCTCCCACACTCCTTTCCTCAGCAGTGAGCTCTTCTAGTATCCACAACCTTTCAATTAGACTTAGAACTGATCACACTAAAGAGGCACAGAACTGTAGCCCTGGAACATCCTAATTGGGACAAATACACCTTCAGACTGACTGTCACATCAGGTCACTGTACAATTAACAAGAGGGGAGTGTGCGTGTGTGTGTGTGTGTGTGTGTGTGTGTGTGTGTGCAGGTGCTAAGGGAAGAGTAAGCAGGACCTGTCTTCAGGAAGCTGTCTTAAAGCTTTTCTGGATTGGGGCAGTTTAGTGAGCCTGCAATCCCAGCATGTGTTCATCCTTAACAAATGGAAATGTTTTCTAGATAAGTGAAAGCAAGCACATTTCCAAGCCTGTGACCCTCCATGTACATCTGTTTTCTCTCCTTGTGTGAAGACTAAAGACACTTTTCATGCCCTGAAATGAAGGACTTTGCTGGGGTGAAACTGGGAGCTATCTCCTCTCCCAGAGAATAGCTCTCTGACTACAGAACTTCTTGTTTGAGAAGTTTTTTCTACTTGAGTTATTGGACTAGACCAGGAATTCCTAGATTTGGGGGATGGGTGAGGAAATGGACTCCTTGGCTGTCTGGTGAAGCCTGTAAAGTTCACCTGAGAACTGTGTTTTTAAATGACTAACCTAATTACATAAGAAATCAGAAGGAACCAATTATACTGAAATGCAGTCATAAAAATATTTTTAAATTGTGATAGAATAGCAATGTGCTTCTTAGTGCATTAAATATTACAACATATATATATCGTAATTTGAAAATAGCCATGAGCACAACTGATATTCTAAGATCTCTGCCATGACCCTAATATGATAGAAAAAGAATTGCTACCAGTGACAAAGTTATCACCTGCTTACATTCCATCAGAGATGAGTGAAAATAAAGATGTCATACTTTCACAGACCCCCTGAATTGAACCAACCCAGGATGATCCCAGTTAGGGAAATGAACCATTGAAATCGTAATGAGAGAAACTGTGGAAGAGATCAACTCATTTTGCAGATGAGCAAAGATTGCTTTTGAAGGGTTGAGATCTTCAATATTGAGATGGATCTTGCAAGTTCTAGAACTTATTTTTTTTTTTTATACTTATTGAGAAGTCAGTGGGAAAGGTAAGAGTGAAAATTTAGGACAGGTGTCTGCTCGGCATGTGTTTTTAAATGTCATCATTTATAAACTGAATATGCAGAGAAAAAAAAGATAAAGAAAAAAAGGCCAAGTCTCCTGGATCCACTGGCGAAAGCTTAAATGCTGCCATGTCTCCTCAACCTATACACACAAGTCCAGAAAAATCTCTCACCTTTCCCTGAAGGGACATCCCCAAGCATTCAAAGAGGCACATTTTTTGTCTTCAGCTGATTATAAGAGTGCTAGGATAGGTGTATTTATACTTCAGTAGATTATTTGAAATAAAGTAGCACCCTCCTCAATGAAAATTTTTCAAAGACCCCTTGACTTACCAAGTACCAGCCATCCCTGGAGTCACGCATGCTCCTGACAGACAGACATCCAGTAGATGTCACTGGATACCACCTCCCCAGCTTTACACAGCCAACTACCTCAGACCTTGTCCTGCCTTGTAGCCGTTAAGTCACTGAAGCCCCCCCAAAAGCAGAAAACTTAAACTGTCTCTGTCTGTCTTCCCATGGAAGACAATAGAATATCTGAAGGTTTTTTACAACACTTCAGATCTAGAAGTTACCATAGAGATGATCTATCAGGAGCACTAATGGTGATTTGGGCAAGACAATTTCTTGTGCAGACATCTGAGCCCACTACACTAAATGCCTGAAGTGCCTACCCCATGTCTCTGTGACAGCCACAAGTAGCTCCCCAAATTTACTAATGCCCCCTAGGAATAGTCATACAGCCCCTATTTGTGATGGAATCACCTCGGATAAAAGCACAGAGAGATTAATGAGTTCTCCCAAGATATTGGGATAGCCAACTTAGTGATTTTTTTTTATAGCCCCACTTAGTTCCAAAAATGATTTGAATGTGTTGAATGGCTTATTTTTATTTGTGCATGATTCTCCTTATTTCCATTTTACACATGAGGAAATGGACCATTGTCACACAGCTAGAAAGTAGAGGAGATCAGAACATAAGTGTTTAGCATAAGTCCCACCTTGTTATCCCCTCTGCCACTCAGTAATGTCTTTGGGGCATTGGGCAATTGTGGATACCACATGTAAGGCACTGGAACTGCTCTGGTACTGACAGATATCATCATCCCTACAGGTGCTGCAAGGAGCAGCCACATGTTTCTATGCTTTTATTGGTTTTGACATCATCGCCACCACCGGAGAGGAAGCCAAAAATCCCAACACGTCCATCCCTTATGCTATCACCGCCTCCCTGGTCATCTGCCTGACAGCATATGTATCTGTAAGTACCAAGACATGTGGGACCCTCCTCATGGCCTTTGTTCATATTTGACCCTAAAGTGTGGCTCTGGGGCTGGGTCCCCTTCTGTCAGAAAGTGATCCTTTGTTTGTGCCCTTGGTGTTTGTACATAAGCACATGCTCCCTATATCTTTGCCCAACTATGACAAGATGAAAAATCAGGACTCCAAACTAGAGATGGGAGAATCCCAGGCCCTCCTTTAAGCACTGCCTCTGAGTCTCCATCCCCAACTGCCTTACACACAGGCTCCTGGTGTCCCCTGCCGCCTGAGGATGGTGTGCTGGGAGTGGGCCGCTGTCCAAGGATCTCAGATCATAGGCTGGCAGTAACGGGTGGGTGTGCGAGCAGAGGCTTTGTGGGCCTCTGTGCATCCTCCTCAATGCTCTTCTGTCTTCTGGGAGCTTCCCGGCAGTGAAGAGGCGAGGCGAGGAGAGGAGAGTGCATCATCCTCTGAAGATGCTCTTCCCTTAAATGTGGGGGGTGGGAATATGCAATTTCTTTCTGCTGTTGTTCCTTTTTAGAGGAGTTTAAGCTTACCCCTTAGGGTTTCCCCATCAAGGGTTGTCCTCATAATAAAGCCGTCAGACTTGTGTCCTCAGGATCAAGGATGCTCCTCACACTTTTGATGTGTCAGTTCCCACCCTAGAATTCCTACCACAGAGGTAGTTCAGCCACATCCAAGATTCCCTTCACCCCCTGGCAATGGAGAGAACCAGCTAACAAGCCAACAGGTGTGTGTGTACACAAATACTCCAGGCCCTGAAGGCCCCACTCTTGTCACCACAATTAGGAAAGAGTCAGCAGCTGAGGTGTACACTATAAGCCCTGTGGCTCCTACTGCCACAGCATGGGGAAAGCACCTCCTTCTCCTTCCTCCAGAAAAAAAATATTTTTTTAATATATTTTATTGATTTTCTAGAGAGAGAAAGAGAGAGGGATAGAGAGTTAGAATCATCAATGAGAGAGAATCATCCATCAACTGCCTCTTGCATATCCTCTACTGGGGATATGCCCGCAACCAAGGTACATGCCCTTGACCGGAATCGAACCCAGGACCTTTCAGTCTGCAGGCCAATGCTCTATCCACTGAGCCAAACCGGTTTTGGCCAGAAAAAAATATTTTTTAAAAAATATGTTTTTATTTATTTTTTTAGAGTGAGAGGAAGGGAGAGAGAGAGAAACATCAATGAAAGAGAACTATTGATAGACTGCCTCCTATTCCCAGTGTGCCTGCAACTCAGGCACACAGGGATTCAAACTGATGAACTCTTGGTGCATGGGACAACTCTCAATCCACTGAACCACACTGGCCAGGCACAAAATAAAACCATCTTTAACAACCACCTAAAGAAGCCAGACCAATTGATCATTAAGGCAAGCTGCAAAACGGGATTGTCCTGGAAACCAAAGGAAAACAGAGCAGCTTTGAATGTGGTTTATATGTGGTTAAATTCAGTTGCCCAGTCAAACATTTATGGAAAGGTCATTTATCACCTTCCACCATGCACACATAGTACAAGTGGCTTCCTCTTATCTATATCCTGATTTTCCCTGCAGACTGAGTGTTCAGGGAGGTGTGGTGTCAGGGTGTGCAGCAGAGACACTCTGCTATGCACTTCCTCTCCTATTCCTCCCTCATACCTCCACCTCTTCCAGGGGTCGACCCTTGCAGCACACACACAATAAGGTTAATAATAACTACTCCTTCCTTAGAATGGCACTTCATAGACTACAGAGCACTTCAGACATCTACCAATTCTTTGCCTATCCTGATCTAATGAGGATAGAAGACACAACAGAAATTGCTGTAAGATCAATCCCACTCTCCTCCAGCCCACCACACCCCACTCACATTGCAAATGGTGAGTGGCTGCTGGGAAATATTGTATTTGTTCAAAATGCATTGGGCCTTAGCTATGCCTCAAGAGTTGTTTGTTCCTGTGCTGGTCAGCAGTTGCCAATCCACCACCAGAAGAGGGAGATTGCTGGGCTGTGGTAGCCCATCCTGCTATCCTCTCTCAACCCATGGCTTGCTTCTCTGGAGGTTCTCGACTACTGAGGAATAGGCAAAGAAGTGATCTAGAAGCGCATTGCTATCTCCCTTTCAGACTCTGAACTCCTTTCCTGATGCCAGCATTGGCCTTTGAAGCCAAAGGGGAGCCTGGCCGTGTGACTGGTGGCTCCATTGCCTGAGGCCAATTCTGAAGGGAGGGATGTTATGGCAGATCTATAATGTATGAAGGGAGATAGGCCCTGGCTAAGTGATTCCTGATTAAGCAAAGCCATCGTGGTCTTATGGCCCAGAGTAGGACTGGATTCCATCCTGAAGCCATAATGGAAATAGGAGTTCTCATCTGAATCTCATCAGTTTTTTGGCTATGGATATCCTACACAACTGTCTTTGGAGTTCTGCTCTCTGGTCTTTGGGGTGACAGGGAGTACTGTTAAGACCTTGTAGGACCCTGAAAGTTTAAAAGAAATGAGAGTCATTTCCATGTGGGCAGGGTGCTCATGGTCATTGCCGGGTCCTGGCTCCAGTGCCTGTGGCTGTAGCTCCTCCCACCTGGGAACTGCCTTTCATTGAAATGTCAGTACTTTCATGGGGCTGAAATACTTGCAGACTTATTCCTCAGATATGAAAGGCCCATTGAGAGATATTAGAGGTGATCTGGTCCAATCCACTAAATCCATGTGTGGGGAGAAAATAGAGACCGAGAACACCAGAGGTCAAATGGTTGTTCTAAAGGGAAGTTATGTTGCCAAGAAATGGCAGGTCCAAACTGCCTTGCAGCCCTCTGACCCTGGGTCCTCTGACTTTCTCTCCTGTGGGTTATTCATCCATGCTGTCAGTCCCCTCTACCTCCAGCCATGTTTTCTCTTGTTTCAACAGGTGAGCATGATCTTAACTCTGATGGTGCCCTATTATGCCATTGACACGGAATCCCCGCTCATGGAGATGTTTGTGGTTCATGGGTTCTATGCTGCAAAATTCATTGTGGCCATTGGGTCAGTTGCAGGACTGACGGTCAGCTTGCTGGGCTCCCTCTTCCCAATGCCAAGGGTCATTTATGCCATGGCTGGTGATGGGCTCCTTTTCAGGTAAGGTTTATGCTCTGTGGAATTAATTCTGTTATGTCATGCCTGTACAGGGAGAATGTCACTGCTGTCAGCCTGACTGCAGCTTTGATGTGAGTGCCTGTCACATAGACAGTGGAACTTGTCACATCCTGGCAGAGAATTTGAGTTGAAAGAGCTTACGCCCTGAAACAGCTCCTCTATTTGACTCTGGGTCCCTCAATCCAGCACAAACTGATCTGTTCCTCTATCTGCTCCCTCTCCTGTTTGACATTGTGTATCCCTTTGTAAAGATGGTGAGTGCCAAACTGTGATACTGAGTGGCCTCCAGAAGGGAGAACCCATCCTGGGACACCTTAGGCCTGCCCTCATATTGAGGCCTGGTACCTGACCCTGTCTGTACAGCCCCTCTGAAGTTGAAAAAGTTCAAAGTTTTCCTCAAAAAGAGAATAATACCCTATTAACTGAACCTAATAATAGTAAAAACAAATAGCTACCATTCATTGAATATTTGTGCATTCCAGATGCTTTATATACAGTATACCTTTAAGTCATCACAATAATTCTATTTAGTCATCACAATAACTCTATTTTGCAGATGAGTGAACTAGGTGAGTATTCTCAGAGAGGCAAAAATCCTTGCCTCAGGTCCCTCAGCTTCTGGGGGGGGGGGGGGGGGGTCAGGATTTGAACCCAAGATTGGCCTAACTCCAAAGACCAGACTTTTAACCACACCAATATAGTGACATTTCCAGCTCCCTATCATGAACATGAAGTGGTTTGTCTGCCCCCAGCACAGAGGTATGTGGCCCCATCTCTTGGTTCCCAATGTCCACCATGGGAGGGGCTTGCAGGGAAGGCATTCCTTCCAGTGCACAAAGCAAGGTGTAAGCCCTGGAGACCAGGATCCCTTGGGTGCAGAGGGAACAAACTCAGGGACTTTATCTCTGCCCTTGGCTGTCACCTTCTGCTCCAGTTCCTCAGTCTATCCCCTGAAATCATCACCAGGTTTGCGCTGCTATATTAGGAAAGCTGGACAAATCAGGGAGAATCTCACCAAGGTAGGGGGGTGACAACTACACACATCCACAAGGTTTTTCTTCTGTCAAAGAAAATTAAAAGGAAAGACACTGGGGCTCCAAGAATGGTTTATTGTCCTGTGTGAATCCTGAAAATAAGGGAAGAGTAAAAGAGGCAGGAATGGGGAGGATCATGAAGAGAACAGGAACCTAATTAAGGTCCACAGAAACTGCTAAAGAAGCATTCAATCACTCGTGTTGGTCTTCAGCTGGTAACTGGATGAATTTAGCCTGCATTAATGAGTACTGGTTCCTAATTATTGTACTATTTTACCAGATTACTTCTTATACTTTTGTTATAAAGCTGTGTGTCTCAAAGTTTGGCATAAGTCAGATTCTGGAAGTTCTTTTTTTAATGTATAGTTTGTTGAGCCCCGCTCCCAGAGATTCTGATGTGGTAGGTGTCAGGTGAAACCTGAAAATATGTATTTCTCACACGCTACAAGAGAATGCTGGTGTTACTGACACATGGACCATACTTTGGGTTGCACAGGTCCAGAGGACCCCCAAATATTTATCTTATCTAGTAGGTGTATGACTTCTACTATCACTTCTTCCTAGCAGGATTTCAATTTAGTTTTCTAAATACCTCCTAGATTTAAGATTCAGTCAACTCTTCACATCACATAATAGACTAGGAACTTTAATAAAAAGTTTGTCTCAACACCTAGGAATTAAAGTAAACTATTTTTAAATTGTATTCCAGGAACAAAATCCTAGGATCAGAAGCATAGCTGTATTTAAAGCAGTGAATCCGTAAGCCAATTGGAGGGGCTGGACCAAGAGGAATTAAGTCATGTTAGAGTCAATCATCATCTGAAGCCATGTTAACCCTGTGCTTCGTTAACTTTCCAGGTTTCTAGCTCATGTGAGCTCCTACACCGAGACACCAGTGGTGGCCTGCATCGTGTCGGGGTTCCTGGCAGCTCTCCTCTCGCTATTAGTCAGCCTGAGAGATCTGATAGAGATGATGTCCATCGGCACACTCCTTGCGTACACCTTGGTCTCTGTCTGTGTCTTGCTCCTTCGATACCAGCCAGAGAGTGACATTGATGGTTTTGTCAAGTTCCTGTCTGAGGAGCACACAAAGAAAAAGGAGGGCATCCTGGCTGACGGTGAGAAGGAAGTATGTTCTCCTGTGAGTGAAGGGGAAGAGTTTTCTGGCCCTGCCACCAACCCATGTGGGGCCAAGAACTTACCATCCTTGGGAGACAATGAGATGCTCATAGGGAAATCAGACAAGTCAACCTACAATGTCAACCACCCCAACTATGGCACTGTGGACATGACCACAGGCATAGAAGCTGACGAATCTGAGAACATTTATCTCATCAAGTTAAAAAAGCTGATCGGGCCCCGTTACTACACCATGAGGATCCGGTTGGGCCTTCCTGGCAAAATGGACCGGCCCACAGCAGCTACAGGGCACACAGTGACCATCTGCGTGCTCCTGCTCTTCATCCTCATGTTCATCTTCTGCTCCTTCATCATTTTTGGTTCTGACTACATCTCAGAGCAGAGCTGGTGGGCCATCCTTCTGGTTGTTCTGATGGTGCTGCTGATTAGTGCCCTGGTGTTTGTGATCCTGCAGCAGCCAGAGAACCCCAAGAAGCTGCCCTATATGGCCCCCTGCCTCCCCTTTGTGCCTGCCTTTGCCATGCTGGTGAACATCTATCTCATGCTAAAGCTCTCCACCATCACATGGATCCGGTTTGCTGTCTGGTGCTTTGTGGGTAAGCAACTTCCTTTGGAGCCTTGAGAGTGCCATTTTAAGGCATTGAATAGCTTAACCCAAAATTACCTTCTTGCTGGACTAGGTATTACCATTCCAAGAAAAATCTGGCTGGTTCTTTGGACTCTTGCTTTCTGCATTAGAGTCAAGAGAGTCAGTTATATCCTTTCTTCCTCCTATGGTCTTGGTCGTTGGTTCTGAAGAATGATGCTGATGAATCCATCACTTCCATGAATACTATTACTGGACAGTCTTCTTATAGATAATTAATACCTTAAAAAGTCCACTTTAAATGAATCCACATAAAAAGAGGGGGAAACAGCATTATAAAAGTGAGGGTGGGAAAAGTTGATTGGTATCCTATCTTAGAAACTGAAAATTATGAGGGGAAAAAAGTATTTGACAAAATTAAATTAAAATAGGAACCATGCCATATTTTTTTAATGAGCAAAGTATAAATTAAGTATGGATTTTTGGAATAATTTTTACCTGATAAAATTGCATTATGGCACCATTTAACACCCCTAAATTCATATTGATTTTCATAAACTATTCAAGAGTTTTTCATTCCCCCCTTTATCCCTTTATCCCCCCCCCCCCCCCACAAGATCCTTTCTTATCCTTTGATATTCCAATCATTCTCTTGGGAAGTACCCATCACATCATCATCCTTCTTCTGTTGATAACTTCTGTTGATGACTCTGTCAGGTCCTCAGTTGTTCACAGCTTTGGGTATGAATAGAGTTGCTCTCTCTAAGCTCACTTTCATTGCCTTCAAGAAGTTTCGTACCTTCCCCAAGATTTCTAATTTTCCTTTGTGATCTATTTATATTATATTCACAATAGATGTTTATCATATCTAACAATCACTGATTTTATGAGATGGCTAGGGAGTGGTACTAATAGTAACCTGAGAGGGATGTTTAAGTGAAGACTAATTTTAAAGTTCTTTAGTCACTGTTTTTATGTTCCCTATACAACTTGGTAACCCTAGATTCTCTGTTAACAAATACTTAGTTAAGAAGGACCCTTAGGTACTTTGAGGAATAAAAAAGCAATAGAATAAGTAACTCCTGCCTTAAGGAGAGGATAGACAAATCTGCATGAATCAACCAGTCTAGTCAAGACAGTATAGAGACTCATGGATTAGTAAACAATCCACTCCTTGAGGCCAGGGATATAGGTGTTTAATATTACAGCCTCTGTGCCTGGAACAGAGTAGATGCTTAATAAATACTTCTCTATTATTATAAAGCACTCATTATATGAGAAACAAAGAAACTTCCTATCACAATAGCCGGAAAGAACTTTGAGGAGGTAGAATTAGAACTATAAGGTAAGGTTTAGATAGAGGGAAGTGGTGGTTGTGGGGGAGAGATGGGCATGGTACTCAAATGAAAGCACATGTCTTCCAGCAGATTCTTCTCCTCTGAAGGACATTCTGTACCTTCCCATAAGCATTTTGTTTCAATTTTCTAGTCTTCTATGTCTCATCCCTTGTTGGACATTAGAGGGATTTTTCCAGAGGACAAGAGCACTAACTTGTCAAAGTTTTAACCATTTATATGATTCACTCACAATCTCTCTTCTCTGTTTAAACATTTTTCCACTGGGACATGTAGCTAAGCAATGGAAAGATCTTACCATGGGTAGAGTGGCTGAAGTGGGTAAAAATATTTTAATTATATATTTGTGAAATGAATGAAGATATAGACACAAAGTTACATGGACTTACTAAATCATTACTAGACTATTAAAGCTGGAAGGGGCCTTCACTTTTCTAGATCAATGTTACCCACAGTGGAGTTGGTCCGAAGGTTGTGGGTTATTGTTAAGCTGATTAACAATGTTACCCACAGTGGGGTGACTATTCCATTGGTAATATTTGGGCTGATTTTAGAGAGTGTATGGGTAAACTTTTTATAGTTACTATACATTTTCACATTCTAGAAGAAATAGACATACTCACATAAATCTGGTAATTATTTTTTAATTTAAAAAGGGGATCAAATTAAGAAAACCATTAGTAATAAATAGTACCAGTGCTAGATGATTCATAACAATAATTAACATATATAACACTTATCACATAGTCATTATTGTGAGGGCTTTACTTATATTAACTTATTTAATCATCACAGAAATATCCATTTTAGAGATGAGGAAACTGAGGTACCTGGATGAGGTCACACACACTATCAAAGTCAAAATTAGAACTCAGATAGTGTGGGCCCAGAGTCCATGATCATAGCCACTACACTAAAAATATGATATATAAATACCTAAAGTTTGAAAAACACTGATAAAGTCCACCGCCTCCCCACTTGTCCCTGTCTCAATTTCACAGATGAGTAAACTGAATCTCCAAGAGTTTAAATTACATGATCAAGGTCAACAGGAAGTTAATTGAAGGGCTATCACTACAATCCAACATCTCCATGCTCAGATCTGGGGCTCGCCCTACCAGGGGCCTCTGAGCAGACCTTTTTATTGGATCAGAAAGTCTGATATGTAATTTATGTGGATCAACACATAACATCAGGCAGGGCTGGGTTCCGGGGCGTACGAACACTGCAGTCACACAGGACCCGACACTTGGTTGAATGCTCTGCTACCTTCTTGAATTCTTAACAATTTTTTTTTAACAAGGAGTGCCATGGTTTCATTTCGCACTGGGATCCGCAAATTAAGTAGCTGATTCTACATGGTATCTATGGTCTCTGAAACCCAAAAGGCACTTTTCGAAGTTGGTGAGGTGGAAGCAACCCGTGTCTTTAGAGCAAACATCCCTAGATTCAAATCACAACTCTGCCACCTTTGTCTTGTGACCTTGGGAAGATTGTTTAACTCCTTTGGGCCTCAAGTTATAGGTTACTCGTCTGTAAAAATGCAGATAATTTACTAGCATTGGTGTGGTGGCTGTTTGGAGCTTAAATAAGAAAATATTGGGGAAAGCAATGAGAATTATTTCTTTCCTGCCTTTCTTTTCAAAAGCTGAAGTGATTCATTGTCCCCTAGACTAGCTATCACATGCCAAAGTACAGCGTGAACCTGTTCTGACTCAGGCTGCCCTCCCAGTTATCAAAAGAAAACTCCCAGAGAGCCTTTTGTAATAAAGTTTTGCTGATAGCACAAACTTCAAGCTCGCTCCAGAAACCGATACTCCCTGACAGGGGAGGATGCCACCCTGCAGCCTGGGGCCAGCCAGACGGGGCACAGGAGCCCACAGGTCAGCAAGCACCCAGCTGTGAGCTCTAACTGCTTTGGCATGGTGATCTTTGAAGGCTGTTGTACTAGTTAGCTTCTCCTAGAACAAAGATAGAATCACCTGAATTGTTTCTAAAACATTCTACACTCAGGATCTCGCCACAGAGATTTTCTGATTCAGTTGGTCTGATATGGCCAATTCTGGGGGTATTTTTTTGTGTGCATGTCATTTTAATGTGCAGCCATGTTTAAAATGAACGTAGTTCTTAAAGTGTGCCCTTGACCAGCAGCGTCAGCATCACCTGGGAACTAGTTAGAAATGCAGTTTTGAACCCTATCACCACCAAAATAGAATCTTCAAGGGCAATTTAGGTTTTAACCAGCCCCCCATGTGATTTTGATGTATGCTCAAATTTGAGAGCCACTCATCTAAAGAGAAGGATAAGAAGATATTAGCAAGCAAGGCAGATTACTTAATTATAAAACTCTCTGTTTTTCAAAATAAATGTTTGCCTTTGTAAAATATATCCATCCCACAACACCAAATTGGCTTATAAAGTCTTTAATGATATTATAGAATAAATACCCCACCTCTAAACCTCTAAGTCTCAAAAAATGCCAGATTTTTTTCTCTTATTCTCTATTCATAATATAGCTTTCCTGGGGAGAACAGTAGAGATCTTTTTAAATAGATCTTCTTATGAAACATCAGGTATTTTTTAAAGGTTTGGGCTGAGTCATAACTTGAAAATCTTCCTGATACATTTTTTACCCAACCCTCTATAAATGAATCTTAATACAGCATTTTGTCACAATGTTTTTCTAAGCTTTGACCTTCAGAAGACACGACTCATAGAGTTAAATGAAGCACAAGTCCCAACAAGATTACCCAGCACTTGTTTCTTTTCTTCAGGAAAGAGAAGTAACCCAACAGCAAATGGTCAATAATCCCAACAAAATGAGCACAAAGCAGCCTTCATTCTCCTTTTCTTTTAGCTGATCCAGTTTTGTGAAGACCACTTCAAGGAGTTGGGCAGAGTCTCAAGGATGAACGTAGGAGGGACCAGTGAGAGCACTGTGCAATGGGGTTTTCAAGGTTATCCTTCAGGTCAACTGTTCCCCACGGGCCATTATTATGAATCAACTATCTGTTAGACCAGCTTGTGGGCTCCCTTACCTTGAAAATTGCCAAGTTTTCATCTGAAATGTTTTCAGTCCTTCTGAGGAAAACAAATTCTTGCCTATAGATGTAGAGAGCAGATAGAACTTGTGATTTGGACAATGGGGCCCATATATCCTGTACTAAGACATAAATATTTCAAAGATAAGACGCCACCTATGGTCTTTGAGCTATCATCTGAAATCTTACTGGAAATTGGCGATAACAGCCATGGTGATGAGGGGAATAGGAAGAAAAGAAGAGGGCCATGAATTGGGAATTGAGAGGGCACTGAAATAAACAAATTCCTATGGCTGTTCCATACATAAATTTGAAATTCTCCTTGTAGACAGAGGAGAAAACCACTGGCACCTTCAACATCAGAAGAATAAGAAAAATCGTGAAGGCCAGGCTGAGGATGGGAACAGGGTCAGTGGGATTCCAAGAAGGAGGGAGTATGGCGGTGGATCCTGCTATAGTCAAATATGCCTGCTGGCAGAGGTGCTGTGCAGGACAGGGAGACACATGGAAAGTAAGGGGCAGGGTGATGAACCCGGAGGCACCTGAGAATGAAGGTAGAAAGGGCCATCACTGAGATGGAAGGCCCTGTTGTGAGCATGTGCAGTGCACCTGGA